GAGGAGCAACCACACTGATGAAATTGTGGATCCTTAGAGGATTGAATAAGTATAGAAACCATATTATTTACAGGAATTGGAATCTAATCTGAATCTAGTATAGCTGGCTTTATTATTTCATTCCTCTAATGCCTCCCTATTTCCAAAAATGGGATTAACCAAAAAATGGGTCAGCCTTACCTTATATAGTCTTATCTTGCACCAGTGTTGCTAGGAATGGTAATCATGAAGTACAACAGAACTATAAATGGTGTATTTCTATTTAATAATTATAGATCAATCCTCTATCTGTGGACTCCTCTTTTCCTTTTCTTATTAAGATGATGGTTCTATTTTGTACTGGGAGAAAAATATATAAAGCCTAGACATAAAAAATTAACTGTTCTGTATGTCCTTTCACTTAAATTGGCAGCCTTCCTGTCTCGGAACAAATTGTTCTCATCTGCCCATTCTAACAGGGGAAGTCTTCACATGTTTGGAGTAGACATCTCCCTAACTCACTGATGGGTTTGAGGCCTGGGGGTTACCCTTAACCTGGTTTGGCCAGTTTGCTGAGACAGTTTTACTCACATGTGGTCTCTTCACATGCTGTTTGTCTTTTTTTTTTTTTTTGAGGAAGACCAATGACATATCTTGTGATGACTGTGATGTCTTGGATTTCTTATCAATTGGATTTAAGTGAGGCAGAGATTCTCAAAGTCAATAGCCTCACTCTTCCAATGGCAAGACAAAGTTGGATGTGGTTTGCTAAGGGATTCATCTATTGTTCTTATTCTTACATCAATTTTATTAAGAGTAACATTTTACCATGCTTTCATTTAACTGTTGATAATAATCAACTAATTTCTTTCAATAGAATCAACCCCTAAGTTACCAAAAAAAAAAGAAAAAAGAAAAAATGGTGAGTTGGGTGACAGGTGGACACAACAGGTAGATGAGCAGCCCTGAAAAGAGCTTGGCCAGCCCATCTCAAAGGGAAGGCACTAGCATTAGTACACCAGAGGTGCTAGTTCTCCTTGGGTGCCCCATATACCCATTTTTGAATGAATGAATCTCCTTGAGAAACTTCAGCTCTTCTAGCTCTGAGATTATGACTTTATCTAAGTAATTTATGAAGCACTAAGTGGATATCTGATTAATAGGGGCAAGACAAATAGTTTGTTGTTTTGTTTTAAAGTTAATGCAATTGGGCAAGAAAGTCCACCAGGGAGAACCAATGGGGACCTAGTCCCACCTGTGAAAAGTGTGAACTTGTCAGGATGAGTAGCTGTCCCATTCCTCAAATTCACCCTAATGGGTTGTGTGTGTGGTTTGTCCTTTGTTCTTAAAGAGGACGGTGACATCAGGGAGATGATGATGTGACTTGCAATTAACTTTGATTTGAGTGAGGCAGGGCTGTGCAAAGTCACCAGCCTCACTTTCTCCTCTGGAGCCATCTGGGTGCAGTGGCCAGATATTGATCAGGATGACTGGAGTTGGCTTAGGATACAGTGGGAGACCTTGGCCCTTTTAAGCTAAGGTCTTTTCAGGTTCTCATTTTGAGTGAGGCAACGCCCATTCAGTGAATAGGCCTCTTTCAGAAGTGAGTCAAGGGATGGTCCCTTTAATTAAAATAAATAAATAAATACATCAAACTGGGAGGGGGAAGATTCTCTGGGTTGCTGGCCAAAAGAGAAACAGTTACTATTTACATTCACTCAGGGCCAGGAGGGTCCAAAAAGTAACCATTAAGTGGGACCTATTGTTGTCCAATCCATGAGATCCAGAGTGAATTGGGTTTAAGGCTTGGTCTTTGAGAAAGAAATCTAGCCAGTAAACCCCAAGTTAATTAGTGGGCTTTTGGCCATCAAAATTTAACTTCCTTTGGGCAGAATACCCTCAAGTAAAGGGAGAGGAGCGGAGAGAGGATAGGAGGAGGGGAGGGGATAGTAGGGGACAGACTGAGTTGCCCAACTGGAACTGGCCAGCTGGCCCATTAAGGCAGCTCGAACTACTCACATGTTGCTTCTGCTATATTTCATTAGAAGTACTAAAACAAACCTCCCCCCTCTTTGGGGGAGGGGAAAAGAGGCAGTGGGGAGAAGAGGCAGTAAGTATTCCTGTTTTGCAAATGGTCTATCCAAGTCAGAAAAATACTTTTGCAAAGTTGACACAGTATTATCAGCTCAGACTCCTCTAATTCTGTTAGATTTATCAAGCATTCCCCTCCCTCCATGTTCCAAAATGTTACTTTTCATTCAATACCTTGAATACATTGCCCTTCTATCAGGAGGTGGGAAGCTTCTTTCATTACCATCCTTTGGGGTCATGGTCCATCAGTGACAGCGTTGCTTAAAATTCTCAAGTCTTTTAAAGTTGTTTTTCTTTACAATGTTGTTCAGCAAGTATTTATTCCATGCCTACTATGTGCTGGGGACAAAAAGACAAAATGGAAATAATCCCTGAACTCAAGGAACTGACATTCTACTGGGGAGGTGGAAGGAAAACAAGACATGCCTAGATTAAAACATTTAAAACATGTAATACAAAGCGACTGGGGCTGGAGAGGGCCAATTGCTGGAGGAATCACAAAAGGATTGTTGTAGGAGGTGGGGCTTCAGACAAGCTCTGAAGGAAACAAAGGATTGCAATAGGCAGAGGTAAGAAGGTACTAAAGGAAGATCAATGAACCCTCAACCTACTAAGTGCCAGAACTGTGCTAAGGTTACAGAGTCAAAAATAAAAGAATCCCTGCCTTCAAGGCCAAATGAAGTCAAGAAGCATTTATTAAGCACTTATATGCCAGGCACTATGCTCTGGGGATAGAAAGACAGTTCCAACTCTTAAGGAGCTCATAATCTAACGGGAGAGACAACATAAAAAAATGTACAAATGTACAACATGTACAAATAACACATACACAGAATGAATTGGAAATAATTTCAGAGGGAAAGTGTTAGTATTAAGGGGGATTGGGAAAGGCCTTTTACAGAAGCCAAGAAAATCAGTAGGCAGAGATGGGGGGAGGGGTGTAGAATTCCAGCGGAACAACTAATGAAAATGCATGGAATGCAGAGACTGAGTGTCTTATCCAAGGAATAGCAAGGAGGCCAGGGTCACTGGATTAGAGAGTATGTAAAGGAGTAAAATGTAAGACTACTGGAAGGATAGGAAGGGGCCAGGTTATTAAGCGTTTTAAAAGCCACAGGATTTTATATTTGAACCTGGAAGTAACAGGGAGACACTAGAGTACGTTTATTTATTTAAAATAGTATTTTATTTATTCCAATTATATATAAAGACAATTTTTAACATTCATCTTTACAAAATTTTGAATTCCAAATTTCTCTCTCCACTCCATTTTTCCTAAAATGATAAGCAATTTTATATGTTATCTGTGTGCATTCATGTAAAACATATTTCCATATCAGTAATATTGTGAAAGAAATGGACCAAAAGGAAAAAACCCTCCAAAATAAAGTGAAAATAGCATGCTTTGATCTGCATTCAGAGTCCATCAGTTCTTTCTCTGAATGTGGATAGCATTTTCCATCATGAGTCCTTTGGAATTGTTTTGGATCATTGTATTGTTGAGAAGAGCTAAGTCATTCATAGTTGATCATCATATAATGTTGCTGTTACTGTATACAATGTTCTCCTGGCTCTGCTCATCTCACTTCCTATCAGTTCATGCAAGTGTTTCCAGATTTTCCTGTCTGCTCATCATTTCTTATTGCACAATAGTATTCCATTACATTCATATACCACAGCTTGTTCAGCCATTCCCCAACTGATGGGTTTCTCCTCAGTTTCCAATATTTTGACCCCATAAAAAGAGCTGCTATAGGTATTTTTGTACACATGACCTTTTTGGGATACAGACCTAGTAGTGGCATTGCTGGATGAAATGGTATGCACAGTTTGGTTGCCCTTTGGGCATAGTTCCAGATTGCTCTCCAGAATAGTTGCATCAGTTTACAACTCCACCAGCAATGCATTGTGTCCCAATTTTCCTGCCTTTCCAATGTTTATCATTTTCCTTTTTGTCATATTAGCCAATCCTACAGGTGTGAGGTGGTACCTCAGAGTTGTTTTAATTTGAATTTTTCTAATCCAACATGATTTAGAACATGTCATCATATGCTTATAGCTAGCTTTGATTTCTTCATCTGAAAACTGCCTATTCATATCCTTTGACCATTTATCAGTTGGGGAATGGCTTGTATTCTTATAAATTTGACTGAGTTCTCCACATATTTGAGAAATGAGGCCTCTATCAGAGACACTTGCTGTGAAGATAGCTTCCCAGCTTTCTGCCTTCCTTTTAATTTTGGTTGTATTGGTTTTGTTTGTGCAAGACCCTTTTAATTTAATACAATCAAAATTATTTTACATTTCATAATGCTTTCTGTCTCTTGTTTGGCCATAAATTCTTCCCCTATCCATAGATGTGACAGATAAACTATTCTTTGCTCTCCCAATTTGCTTATAGTATCACCCTTTATGTCTAAATCATGTACCCATTTTGATACTATCTTGGTATACAATAAGATGCTTCCCTAGAATTAGTTTTTCTGCCATACTATTTTCCAGTTTTCCCAGTAGTTTGAATCAAACAGGGAGTTCTTATCCCAGAGGCTAGTTTACTATGGTCAGCCACTGGAGTTTATTGAGTGTGTGGGTGCATGTGACATCATCAGACCTGGGCTTTAGAAGATTCATTTGACATTGAGTGGAGGACAGATGGGAGAGGGGAGGGACTTGAACCTAGGAGAGCAACCAGAATGAGAAAGGGTGGGGAGGGTGAAAGGGAAGAGAACAAGCATTTTATATAGTGCCAATTCTGTGCCAGGCACTGTGCTAAACTTGCAAATATCATCTCATTCGAGTCTCACAACAACCCTTTGATGTAGGGGCTGTTACCTCCCATTTCACAGATGAGGAGACTGAGGCAGACAGGTGAAGTGACTTGCCCAGAGTGACAAAGCCTCTCTGGTCAGAATTTGAACTCAGATCTTCCAGACTTCGGGCCCAGCGCTGTAGCCATTGTGCTCACTCCTTGGGCAGCAGGTGATTAATCTGCACCAGGGTTGGTTGTAGTGTCAGAACAAAGAAGAGGATGTATAGGAGAGATGGTCTGATGTTAAGCCAGTCATCACTTATTAGGCGCCTACTTTTTACCAGGCATTGCTAAGCACTGGGGATACAAAGAAAGGCAAACAACCAAACCAGTCTTAAGGGGCTGCAATCTACCGGGCCGGCACCGAACGCCAAGCACAGGGGTTCGCGTTTCACAAGGTGGAAGGCAGAAAAGGCCCGCGGAGGTCACGTGGGCCAACCGGCTCCTTTTGCAGATGGGGAAACTGAGGGGCCTGGGAGGCTCGGCGGCGGCGCGGGAGGAGGAGGAGGAAGAGGAGCGGGCGCGCGCGGCGTGGCTCTCGCTGCGCAGGAAGTTCCTGTTGGGGCTCGGGCTGTAACCTTGGGCCACTTCCCCAGCCTGTCCGGAGCGGAGGGAGGGGACAACGCGCGTGCGGAAGCGCCGTGCTGCGCTCCCCCAGCCCCGGGAGCAGGCGCAGGCGGCGGCGGCGGCGGCGGCGGCGGCGCAGGAGGACGAGCGGCGGCGGCGGGGCGAGGCGAGGCCTACGCGGGCCGCACCGCCGGCATGTCCCTGGTGGCCGAAGCCTTGGTCTCCCAGGTCGCAGGTAGCGCGCGCTCTTCCGTGCCGGGGCCGCGGGGGTGGGGTGGGGGGGCGGAGCCGGGGCGGGCTGCGGCACCCCGCGGGGCCGGGGAGGTGACCGGGGGAGCTGCTGCCTGGCTTGGGAGGGAGACCTGCAAGGCCCGGCCTCCTCCGCGGGCCAGGAGGCTTAAGAGTGCAGGAGGGACTGTGGGCATCGCTCTGCCCCGGCCACGTTAGATGGGACCGGGGGGGGGCTGGGCGTCCCTGTGCCCCTGCCCTTTGACCCCGGCTTGGAACGTGCGGCTGCGGGAGCCCCCCCCGGGGGGCGGGGCTTGGGGCTGGACCGAACCCGGGCCCCGGCCGTGGGGTGGTGCGTGGGGGAGGGAGGGGCTCGTCTAGCGAAAGTCCTCATTGGGATACTGGCCAATACACCGATCCGTGGAGGATCCGAAGCGTGGACCCCGGAAAGAGCCGTAGAGGTCATCAGAGGTCATCCAGCTCAACTTACTCCGATGTGGCAAGAGATGAGGGAAACTTCCTTCTGCAGAGGCTGGGATAAGTAGGCCGGTTTTGAACTTGGGTTCTCAGGTTCCTAAACCGTCTCCAAATAAGTCTTTTCACCGAACCCCGATGACTTTGTTCACAAATTAAGCAGCCCTTTGTAGATATCGATGATCGGAATCTGAAATAGCCGTTTACAGGCCAAAGATAATTGAAATTAAAACGAAAAAGCTTTGAAAATATCAAATGCCTAAAATTGAAATAGGGAATGGGGAAAATCTAAATGAGTTTCTTGAGGGCAGAGGCCTTTTCTATGTGTTTTTTAAAAATCTTTTCTATACCTAGCACCCCACACAATGCTTTTGCACATAGTTCAAGCTATATAAGTGTTTGTGGAATTGATATGAGTAATTACGAGAACTTGGAGAGATTGTTAACAAGTATGTTTGCAAAAAAAAAATGAAGTGCTTTGACTCCATAAGTAGGTATTCATTTTTAAAATTTTTTAATGTTCTTTTTTGAGTTCCAAACTCTCCCTCCCTCCAGCTCCTCTCCCACCCATTGAGAAGGCGAGCAATATGGTACCCATTATACAGGTGAAGTCACAAAAATTGTATTTACATAGTAGGTGTGTGGCAGAAAAAAGCGAGAAAAGTAAAGTGAAAGAAAATATGCTTTAATGACCCTCAGAGTGTGGTTAGCATGTTTCATCGTGAGTCCTTTGGAATTATCAAGGATAATTGTATTGACCAGAGTAGCTAAGCCTTTTCAGTTGGTCATTATTACAGTATTGCTGTTCCTGTATACAATATGTGCCTGGTTCTACTCACTTCACTTTGCATCAGCTTATATAAGTTTTCAAATGGGTGTTCGTTTTAAAATCAGAAGGTTAAGTTCAAAGTCCCAGTGTAGGTACTATAATATTCTCCAAAGTGTTTTTCAATCTGTTCTATACATGTGACTACTGTTATTTTAACTTTGGCCTTAAATTTTTTTGTTTTGCTGTGATAGGTATTTTTCTCTTTGTATTTACAGGAAACAAAAAACAATTGGGTAATTTTTAAACAAAGCAGGGATTCATCAGCATTTCGTCCTTTACACAAACATCAAATTATAATTTTTCCGTTCTGGAAGTCACTTTTTAGATTTTCAGAATCTACTTGCTGTGTTCCAAGAGACCGGAAAGATAGCTACTGTTAACTCCCACTGTTGCTCATATATTGTATACCAACCAGGGTAGAGTGGCAGTCAGATCTAGTAGGTAGAAAAATTTTGGTTCAGAGACTCCTTTTGATACATACCACATTAAGACCATAGACAAGTCACTTAACTGTTTGGCACCCTAGGCAACTCTTTAGTTTACAGAAGTGCTTTGACCAACTACCACCATTAAAAAAAAAACCAAAACAGCCCACCATAGCATATATCCCAAAGTATGATTTAAAAAAAAAATGTGATCCAGTGTTTTAGGAGTTTCCTCTCATACTAATTTTCATAATTTATAGAAGTTGGCCCCTTTTAACCTACAGTTCTTTATTTGCCTATTTATGTTGTCTCTTTCATTGTAGTTGAAGGTACTTCAAAAAATGAAATTTTTCAATAAAAATAGTGGTGAAAGTAATAAAAATAGGTCTCCAACTCAGGGTGGCTAATGGACCTATACATGTGTTATTACTGTAGACTAAGGGGCCAAAGAGTAACATCCATAGTCTAAACAAAAGAAATTAATTGGAGATGTGGTTAAACCACTCCATGATGTCACCATCTGAAGCTTAGGTCTACCTTCTCAAATGTTTCCACTATTCCTTAATAATAAATCTCTCATTTTTCCAGACTGGAGAGTAAAAAAGTTTGAAGTGTATTCAATGCTTTGCTAACTACTTTTCTTCTCTGGCAATTAGCTTGATGCATTTTTCTTTATTTGTTCATCAGTCAACTGAGTGATGAGTTCTTCAATCAGCAAGTATTTATGAGGTATCCATTATGTGCCAAGCTCTGTATTAGCCATTGGGGATATGATGACAAAAATAAAACTACCCTCAACAAGCTTACATTCTGTGATCTGGAAAGTAACATTTACACACATAACATATTATATGTACATATAGACCTACATAATATATGTGTTAATACTAGTGAAATAGCATTTGCAGAGGGGAATTAGGAAAATCCTCATGTGGGAGGTGGCATTTGAACTGAGCTTTGAAAGAAACTAGAAATCCTGAAAGGTAGAGGTGAAGGAGGTGAAGGCATTGAGGACAGCCTGTGTAAAGGTACAGAAGTGCAAAGTGAATTGTGCTCTGAGGAACAAGAACAGTTTGTCTGGACTGTAGACTGAAGAGGAGTGATATATTATGAGGCAGGAAAGGTAATTTGGAGCCAGGTTGTGCAGGGCCTTAAATGCCAAACAGATATTGCAGGTGAAGAGTTGTATGCAGGGAACCAAAAGAGCTTGGAGAACATGAAAGGGAATAATATATATAAAGCTAGCAATGTGGTTATAGAAAGATTCTGGACAGGATGGTTCAAATGTGTTCATTTACTGATGAGGAAACTGCAACACAAAAGGTTACATAGGAATTAAGTAGCAGGATTAGAAGAACCCAGGTCATCCTTTAAAAGCACTGCGCAGCTCCTCATTCTCCCTCAGCTGCCGTAACCAAGTCCTGTGGATTCTGCCTTCACATCTCAGCCCCAGGCCCTTCTCTCTGAGTCAAATAAGGACCATCCTCAAAGGCTGTCATCACCTCTTGCCGTTAGTATTGCAAATAATCTCCTAATTGATCTTATTACCCTCAGCTCTCCCTTCCCCAAGCCGGGCTCCAAAATGACCAGAGTAACTTTCCTAAAGCATATAGATGTGCAGGGAAGTCTGGAGGAGCAGTTGGTTTGGGGGGAAGAGATGATGAGTTTTGTTTTCAATTTGTCGAGTTTGAGATACTTATGGGACATCCTGTTCTTAAGTGCTTTATTCAGTAGTTGGTTGGTGCTGTAAAACTAGAGCTCAGGAGAGAAACTAAGGCTGAACATTTAATTCAGTGTTGGTAAGAGGTATCAGGCTTTGAGCCAAGAACGCCTGTTCTACAAGTTTAAATTCAATGGTTCCTGTGTTTTTAGTGATATCTAGGTGAAAAATACTTTAAAAAATATAGGTTGTTAGAGTAATACTTAATATTCAGGTGTCAGTATTTTAATCATTAGAAGTTCAGAATGCTGCATATGGCCATTTGATGCATTAATTAATTGAGGAAAAAAATTTCAGTATCAGACTTTTTGAGTCGTAGGGAAACTTAGAAATAATCTAGTTCGGCCCTATTTTACAGCCCCTTGAGGAGCTTGTCCAAGTAACTTCAAGAACTTTCTTGTCCAAAGTTAAACAGCAAATAGGTGTCAGAGCCAGAATTAGAATTTGGTGTCCAGATTTCTAATTTGGTCCTCTTTCCACCATTTTATATTGCTTTTCACATTGAGGCAAAGTACCAGAGTGGCTCCATTCAGCCGATGAAGTGATTTTCCTAATTCTGACCAGGTCACCACTCCCCACTCAATAATAATAATGCTCTCTGGCATTCAGAGCCTTTCATAACTTAGCCCCCTCCTACATTTCCACTCTTCTTCCACATGCACTCTTAGGTCCATTATGACTTGTTCTCATGTTGTCTCTGTTGTTAGATTGAGCTTCTTGAGGGCAGGGGCTGTCTTTTGCTTCTTTTTGTATCCTCTATCTCTTAGCACAGTGCCTAGCACATAGTAGGCACTTAATGTTTGTTGATTGATTGATATATAAATTTAAGAAATGCACTTAAGGCAGGAATTCTTATCCCAGGGTCCATAGTAATGGAATATTTTTTGTGGGGAATATGAACTTGGATGGGAAGAGAATTTAGCTCTATTTCAATATAATTGGTTTCCTTTGTAACTGTATGAATGTATTAAAATTTTATTCTGAAAAGGCAGGAGGGGAATAAGCATTTATTAAGTTACTACTATGTGCCAGGCACTGAGCTAAATGCTTTGCAAATATCTCATTTGAGGAGTGTAAAGACCAGACACTTAAGGGATTCATGACACAAAACAAGGTCAAGAACCTCTGAATTAAGAGACTTGAAGATGACTGTATGAACTCTTAATTTGTGGTTCCTTTACATAATTAAAGACCCATATTTCAATATGAAATGGGGTGGGGGTGGGGGAGGGTGGGTAGTATACTTTCCAAATGTATTCATTACCTTCCTGGCCAAACAGTTCAAATAGCTGTGGAATTCCCTTTAGATGGTGAGATCCTACTCTTTGTAGATAACATGTGCTGATTGCAGTTAAGTCCTTCTCATTGTGATCTGTGACCTAATAATCACACAGAGTAAATCAAGTGGTTAAAGGATGGTTATTGTCCAGATTATATGAGGTTGAGTGGTAGCCCTTTGAGTTATGAACATGAGTTCATAAACAGGCACTTTGTGAGTTAGCTCATCATGGACAGGCACTATTGTATAGGTAGTGAGCTGGGCCTAGAACTGAAGAGAG